ATTATCAACCATGTCAGGAGTGTCTTCCAAACACAAACGAAAAATGTCTGACGAAAATAGAATGTTTCAAGACGAATGGGAAGCTGACTATTTTGTAGTGCAAAACAAACACGGTTTTGCAACTTGTTTGATTTGTCGTGAAAGTGTTATATTAAAAAAATATAATATTGCTCGTCATTTTAACACTAAACATAAATCGTTCAATGATACTTTTCCTCCAGGATCTCTCATAAGACACGAGAAATTGGCTATTTTTAAAAAGTCATTGCAAAATCAACAAAATATTATGTCTGTGGCAATAGTACAAGATGCAGCTGTAACGAAAGCATCGTATGAAATTTGTTATATACTTGGTAAACATATGAAACCGTTTACTGATGCTGAAATTGTGAAGGAATGTTTTTTAAGCGCTTCCAATGTACTGTTTGATAAATTCAGTAACAAAAATCAAATAATTTCTGAAATAAAAAAAATCCAGCTTTCAGATTCTACCTGTGTTAGACGTATTGAAGATATTGCGAACCATATTTGTGATAACGTAATTGAAGACTTGAAAAACTGCAAGTTTTTTAGTTTAGCTTTTGACTCTAGCACGGATATTTCAGCGACATCACAATGCTCGGTTTTTGTTAGATATTGTACAGTACAAAATTCAATTTGCGAAGATTTTTTGAAATTCCTTCCAATGAAGGGCCAGACCAGGGGCAAAGATTATCTCGATACTATTTGCAATTTTCTAGAACAGAACAAGATAGATGTAAAAAAATTAATTTGTGTGTGTACCGATGGCTGTCCTTCAATGACTGGATCTGAAAATGGATTTATTTCTCTACTGAAACAGAATTATGATTTGACAAATTTAATAACATTTCACTGCATCATTCATCAGGAAAACTTGGCTTCACGTATTGCTAATCCTAAAGTAGATACTGTGATGAAAACTGTCATAAATATAGTGAATTATATCCGAGCACGAGAACTGAACCACAGAAAATTTAAAAGTCTTTTAGAGGAAGTGGATAGTCAATACAATGATGTTCTTTTACATACCTCAGTACGTTGGCTTAGCAGGGGGAAAGTTCTGGAAAGGTTTTTTTCTTTGCGAAAAGAAATAATGCTGTTTTTACAGCAAAATAATAAAATATACAGTGAACTGCAAAATAATGAATGGTGGTGTATTGTAGCGTTTCTGTGCGACATTACAGAGAAGCTGAACAGTCTCAATACTGGTTTGCAGGGTAAAAATAAAATAATTTCACAGATGGCGAATAAAATATTTGCCTTCGAAGAAAAATTAAACATTTATTACCAAGAAATACAGAACAAAATACTGCGAAATTTTCCAACCATGACAAACGCTAAGCAGGACGGTATTAATATTTCTCCAGAAAACTATACAATTTTTTCAAATTATTTAACTGCGTTATCTGAGGAATTTAAACATAGATTTCATGATCTAAGGAAAATAAAAAATATCCTGTTGCTCATTGAAAATCCCTGGCACTTGGAACCGGCAATAATATCAGAATTGGCTGATATATTTGCATGTAATTACGCAGAGCTATTTGACGAATTTATTGAGATGAAGAACAATACACACCTGGAAGCTATTTTTAAAGAAAAAAGAGCGGAAAATAATTACGTTGACTTCTGGAAAGTAGTGCCCGAACAATATAAGACTGTAAAAAAATGTGCTCAAATTTTACTTACGTTGTTCGCATCAACGTATCTATGTGAAACGTCATATTCAAAAATGAAATATGCAAAGAACATATATAGAAACCGGCTTACTGATTCACACCTGGATGCCGTTTTACGAGTAGCATGCAGCAGTTACAAGCCTGATTTAAATGAAATTGTGAAAAAATGTTCGCAATATCAACAGTCACACTAAATTTCTAGGGTAAGTGAAAAATTATGTAAGTTTTTTATTATAATTGTTATGTTGCGGCCCTCGTGTAATAGCTATCATGTGTATGTGGCCCGAGAAAAAAAAAGGTTGAGTATGGTGGGTATAGAGCATAATAAGAAAAAGGCAGACAAAAAAAATTAAAATATTATTAATACAAACTTTTAGGTTTGTATTAAAACTAATCTTAATTTCTGTCCTAGTATTTTTGTAAAGTATTTAGCAATTTTTCATGTAGGCTGCATTCACACTGCAAACAACAATACAGAAACTGATATTTTTATCATTCGTCTTTGTTTATAAAATGTTCACACTAGTCATTATTGTTGATCAAATATTCAAAAGGTCACCAAGATTCAACATTTGTTGTTGTTATAACGATACTGGCCAATCAAAGTAAACTTCTGACAATTCTTTGAACAAGATGGAAAAACTGCTAATTGTTTGTGTTGAAAAACAAGGTCCTATGAAGCTTAATAGATGGTCAAAAGTATTTGGAGACATATGAAAATAATTTTTAAAAAATCCTTTGATGACTTTTAATTGTAATTTCTAGACCAAAGCATAGAAAGTGCATTGTGATTTTCTTCAATACAAATAGCTATGATTCACCATTGGCATTTTGATATTTTCCTTAATAAAAGTAATAAATTGATGTCAAACAATTAACATTTTAATCTGCATATCTAATTTTAAAACAGATGAGTTCGGTCTAAAAATGCAGAAAGCAACAGAATAACTCTAAGCCTAATGCAAGTTGTGCATGCTCTAAGAAGAAAACTAATGAACAAAGTGAATGCTTTGGTGATGAACAAGTACAATGAAAGACATGCTGTCATTTTCATTTAGGATTTGTCATTGTTTATGGTAATATGAACATAGCCTTATATGACTTAAAAACCCGTTGATTATTATGAACAAGTTTTTAAGTCATATAAATGAGAAACTGATAAATATTTTATAAAAAGAAACTCAAATATGATAGTTTATTGTATTAATATCAATATTTTAAATAATTAAAATTAATATGCTTTAGATAATTATCTAGAAAATATAATTTCATACTGCATTTTTCCTTTTAATCAATCATAAATTTAAAGTAATTTCTGTTTAGAATAAATATTTTTAGATAAAGTTTTTTATAATCATTTTTATTTAAATTATTTAGCTATTAATTTTTTTTACTGATTTATTGATAGCACACCCCACTAACTTGTACTAACAGGAGTGAAGGTTGTCCAAGTTTAAGAAAGTCTGAGTTAGCAAAGTGTTTTCTCCCAATGATGTGAAAAATGAGAGGGTGGATACAATGCAATAGTTTATTACAATCAGCTCTGTACAGAAGTTTTATTGAGCTTTAGTAGACTATACCAGCAAATTTATTGTTACAGAAAATGGGCTCTAAAAACTTGACGGTAGAATATACAGCAACATATAGTCTTTAGTAACTTACAGATTACAGTAATATAATACATGGTATCACAGAGACTTCCTGTATCAAAAACACAATGTAACTGTTATATGTATGTAAAAGACTGTAAAATGTATGTTAAGGTTTAAAATTATAACTGGAATGAATATCTAGTAAGAAAATCAATACCTTACTTAATTTTCCAGCAAAAGGAAATTTCAAATTGTATAATTTCAAACCTGAAGCAGGTTTATAAAATAAACCAAAAATATTTGTTATACAAACTCTTCATACTAGAAAATTATATAAAATTTATGTTAGAATGAAATTCAATATAGAACAAAAGTCTGTTTATTTATTGACTTGAATGATCTAAATAAAGGAAATAATTTGAATATTAAACTGAATTCAAGCATAAACATTTTGAAGCAAGTGATCAGAAGACAGAAGTGATCACATTTCTTTCAAGTTTCCATAAAAATATTTTCTCAACTATATCAATACTTAATTTTCTTGTTTAACTTATAAATGTCAATAATATTTCTAATGTTAAATGCCTTTAAAAATTATTAATAATAAACACACATTCTCCTTAGTCATATTTATAGCATTTCTTCTAGACATTCTTCTAGAATTTCTTCTATCTTAAAATAATTGATCTATTAATAAATTAGGTAAATATTTTGTTTGGAATACAAATTTTTTCATCTAACAGTATCAAATAATATTGTCTTTTTTCCCATCTTACTTAATGATGGTATTAATAGATAATTTTTGAAAATACAGTAAAGTTTTAAGAATATGTTATTTATTTTAAACTTTTCACTTATTTTATTGCTTTGTCTCTGTAAACTGCAAAAACATAGTAAAAGAATATTTATTCATGACACTTGATTATTACAAATTGTTTCATTGCTTTACTGCTTTATTATAGTCAAGCATTATAGATATCTGGAATAAAATCATTTTTTCTCTTGTTAGATTTATTAGTATTTCATGCCAAAAAATTTTAAATAATTTAAATAAAACAAGTAAAATGAAATTTATGTTTAATTAATAAAATTTTAACCACAGATAGAATATAGGGATAAAGTTTGCTAAACTTTTGCATAGGGACATTAGAACAAATGAAACTACTCCTAATGAACAAACAAAGTATAAACAAAAAAGAAAATGGAAGTTCTATTCTCCATTTTTCTTTGCTTCATTCACAGTGTGTATTTGTTCATTAGGTTCATTTATTCACAAACCATCTAATCTAAATGCATGGGAATTTCAATCTCATTGCATTTGCTATTTACAAGAAAATTTCATTCTTGTAAATATTGGTCAATGCTTCCTGTATAAAATATTTCATCTCAAATTGAAAAGAGGAATAAAATAACTTCCTGTATATGAAATACTCATAAATCAGGATTCACTACAATAGAAAATATTAATATTACCTTCAGTTGCACTTTTACAAAACACACATTGAAATCTTCTTCCACCATCAATGAATTGCATAAATGGACACATATATGCTTTACACCTATTACAACGAACAGGACCCAGATCACCAGGATTAGATATAGGTGGTGGTACCTAAAATATTTTATATATATTATAACTAATATCATAGTGAAGTTTTTTATTACCTACAAATTTAAACTTTTTCTATAACATTCGTATTTNATTATGATGTATTATAAAGTGTAATAAACAATCTAATTGTATTAAAAACAGATCATTACATTTCTGTTTAATATTGCAACAATTCTAGAATTAAATTTCTGTAATCATTAAAAGTAAAGTAATATTAGTTTCATTTATATAAGTTTAAGTTTCTTGAAAGAAAAGATTCATTATCATTAGTTGAATGTAGAAGACTGAGTAGAAATTCAAACTTCACGTTTTTTTTTCAGTTATTTAGCAATATAATATTTTAATATTTCAGAATCAACTGTTTTATTGAAGTACAATAATTAAGACCACAAAAGAATCAAAGTACTTTATGACTTCTAGTCTATCCTCAAGGATTAATGCTCTAGTTAACTTCTAAACTATCCCAAAAAACTCCTTAAACAAATTAAAACCAAGAATTTTAGAAAATTTTTTGAAATTAAGAACATACAAAATCTTAAGATTTTTGTATGTTTTTAATTTAGTTTTAATTTGTTTAACAAGTTTTTTGAACAGTTTAGAAGTAACAGAGCATTAATCACTGAGGATGGACTAGAAGTCATAAAGTACTTGGATTCTTTTGTGGTGTTAATTATTGTACTTCAATAAAACAGCCAATTTGTTATTAAGACTTTTGGAGTGCTAATAAGTACACATTTCATTGTCACTTTATTTTATTCACATAATTATAAATAAGAGGATACGTAATAAAAAAATAAAAATTTTAATTTTTTTAAATCTTGTTTGTAACAAGTATTTTCTCTCTTAACTGTAAATAAAAATCTATGATAGAATTTTCAGCTCTATTTACAAATTTTTATTTTTATTGTTAAAAAAACTATGTAATAACAGTAAAACTGTTTAAACTGCAGAAATTATTTGCTTATTAGAAGTTTCACATGCTGCAATAAATATTAAAAATAATTTGAAGTAAAAAATGTGAAAAACAAAAATGATAATATCTATCAGTATCATCATAAGCATTTATGGATTTGTTGCTAATTTCTCATCATAAAACAAGCATCGTACATAAAAACAAGCATTATTCTTACTTTACATGATATGCTTTTTGGTAAAGTTTTATTTTATTAAGATGACATTTTTGTCCTAAGTAGAAATGGAATATTTGTCTCTAATATCTAGAATTATATATTAATCTGAGTATTTCCAAATAAAAGAAAATAAAAAGAATAAAAGAAATAAATCTAAGATTATCTAAAAATAAACAAACACCTTTCTCTATTCCAGCACAATTTTAATGCGTTGAAAAACGTTTTCGATCGTTTTAATCGATCTTCTTCAGTTCAAAATTCGAACTATATAACAAACAAAGTATTCGAAAAAATACAAAAAATTTCACATTGCTTATTTACAACTTAACGCTAAAGCGCATGCGTGTACTTATAAAACGTATAGATTAAACCTAAGTAATTAAAAATAACACCATTATATATCAAGTAATATTATAAAAACTATTAATAACGCTGCCTGTGTGGTTGCAATAATTAATCTACGTTATCATAAAAGGACTTCCAGGCTGTTGATAAACTTTCGGTATCTCTGTAGTTGATGCATTGCGCGGTCGTATGCATGTGCTATTGCAACCGCATAGGCAGCGTTATTAATTGTTTTTATAATATTACTTGATATATAATGGTGTTATTTTTAATTACTTAGGTTTAATCTATACATTTTATAAGTACGCGCATGCGCTTTAGCATTAAGTTGTAAATAAGCAATGTGAAATTTTTTGTATTTTTTCGAATACTTTGTTCGTTATATAGTTTGAATTTTGAATTGAAGAAGATCAATTAAAACGATCGAAAACGTTTTTCAACGCATTAAAATTGTGCTGGAATAGAGAAAGGTGTTTGTTTATTTTTATTTAATATTTCCAGTAAGCATTTAGATATTTATCTAAGATTATCAACTTTCAGAGTAGCTAAATCAACTAAATAATTTAAGGATGTGACACTTGCATTCTTATTCAAATTTCCATAGGGTTTTGCTATTATTGACTCCAATTTACATATTCTAATTTTTTTTTGGTACAAAATAGAGAAATGTACTTAATAAATCCATAAATTAACAGAAAGGAAATAATAAAAAAACAATTTTAAAATATTAAACATTTAACAATATAATTTATAAATTTTCAATACCAAATTAACATTCTTTGTATCTTATCACCTTATCAAATGGTGGAATTGCACATATCAATTTAAAAAAAATCATGTATTAGCAATTCTAGCAATAGAATTGTCATTTTGAAAGTAAAATATTCTAGAAAATAAAAACTAATGATATATAAATATAATTTTAAACTTTTTACTGAATAAAAACAAACTGAATTAAAAACAATTTTACATTCAAGTATCTTTTTTTTCTATACATAAATATTTTATGATATTTATTGACATTATTAGCCTATCACATGAGAAATACATTGTTCTTCAAAGTCAAAATACACTAAACATAATAATATTTTCACATAATAAAATAATTACCAACCTTCACATTATAGAAGTGGACAACATTGCTGTAAGTAACAAATCCAACTTTCATCTTTGATTTATCAACTCCATTCTCTCTATGAAAATTAAGAAAAAATTATAACATTAAATACACTTTCAGAAATTCATATATCAAATTTATTTTAAAAATTTGAAATTTATAAAAAATGTTTGATATTTGTATAATGTTTAAATACTTTCTATTTTTACACATTGTTATAATAATTATTTGAGTTGTTATGGCATATTTGCCAGAATCATGTTGACAATACTCCATCAAACTATAGCTCTCAAAAGATCCATGAGTCCATGGATCTTCTTTTGAGAGATGGAAGGATTTATTATTACCTTACAAGACTAGATCTTAAATAAGAAAACTACAAAACGTACATTTTAAAAGACATGACACTTATAGTAAGAAATGCCACATCATGCACAAACTATACAATGTATTGTACATATACACTGGACTGCAATCTTTTAGTACATATGGTACATCTTATGTACTAAAAGATTGGAAACATACATTAATGTAATCAAATAAAACAATAAATAAAAATCTTGCAAATAAACATGAATTATTACAGCTACCATACTATAAATACACACTGAAGATAGTTTTAAAAAACAACATATACTATAATTGAGTCATAATCATAGCAGGCTAGACATCACATTCATTGATAAACAATCATAGATATACATTCTAAATCTCAATACAAAATATATATATAAAAAATTTAGTAAATATTCAGAACTTGAAAGCACCCATGAATAATAGCTAAGTTACTTATTGCCCCTGTCCTCTCTAGCACAGGAATCATCATACAAAAATCTGGAACACAGACCTTAACAACAGTATATACATCCCATTACAGAAAGCAGGCATTTAAACACATGCCAAATAGCCAGATATTTCTTAATACAGATATACACAAATAGCACAAACAAAATAAGTTTTTTTATGTAGCTATGCCATTACCTTGATCCATTATAGTACTAGGCATTAATATCACAATCCAACTAGGACACAATCCATAACATATTATTAATAAATGCTAAAATAACCTTGAAAAAATTAAATAAAAAAATTTTAATGTCAATATTATCAGTAGTTTAAAAAACAAACAAGGAATTCAGATGAATCTAGGGTGGCAACATGGTCAGAGTTGTTCTTGTTGTAACAGTATGACCTTCCAGATACAGAGTAAATAAACAGTATAAAAAAATAATTTCCATTAATGATATCATTGCTGATTTTATGAAGAAGGCCACATGCAGACTTGACAATATCCAATGACACAGGTCAGAGAATTAGTTATTTAGCTATTACTGCAGAGAATTAGTATTTGATAAAATCAACAGCTCACTTCTAAATAGTTCTCTGAAAATTGTTATATAAATTTCTGGTATTATTTGTTAAAAAAGAAATATTACCAGAAATTTATCAGCTTAAGTTACAGGTTCAAGTAAGGGTGTTTAATAATAGCAATTAAAATACTGATTGACATACAGAAAATGGAAGCAAACTAAAATTGAGACATGATTATTATTATTTTTTTTTTTTTTGGTGGTTTCTGGAAAAATTGTACTGATAAATGAATAAATACATTATGTAAACATTTTTTTTTTTATTTTTAAAGACATTCTTCACAAATTCAGACAAAGGAAAAGCTGTTGATAACTTCATAATTGCAAGTTAAAATTGGAAGATATCCATAAAATACCGTAATCATGTACATATACCAAATCATCGCATAAGTTTTACCTGCTTTCAAACTGGCCTACAGATAACTCATGAATCATTCTTATAAAAATTACAGTAATCTTTCTACCAAGTAATATATCAAATTTTACTTGTACAATAATACACTGAGTAAAAAAAATAAGAACCTCTATTTATTTACTATGAATTTGCAATTATTTATAAATTTACTTACCTTGGTAAATTCATTAAAATTTTCTTCATATTTTCACATAATAATTTTACCATTCCATTTCTTATACTGTTATAAGAAACATCTATCATGAATATAAAGGCTGGAGGATTAGGAAATTGGCCATTCTGAAAATAAAATTTCATAATTTTGTTTTTTGTTTTGAATTAGCACACCTAATTATTTAAATGAATAATTTACCTTGCAATAATCCTTTGTAGCAATAAATTCATAAGAACCGAGACAAAGCTCTGGCCTTTGATATTTATCAGTTCTATCACCCATATGATCCAAATACGCAAAATATTCTTCTGGTACTAGAATATTTAAAGAAAAAAGAAAAAAAGATGAAATAAGTTATGTTCAAAATTAAGAATATAGAAGTATATCAAATAATAAAATATCATATATCTTGGTAACATAATATTATCATAAAAATAACTGCTTAAATCTGGGAAGCAAATGGATTATTTTATTTAGATATGGTCTCAAAGAAGAACAAAAACATTACTAAATAAAATCTTAACATTTGTATAGAGCCCCCATACTCAACCTGCGGCCCGCTGACCTTTTGTGAGTGGCCCGGACGTAAATAATGCAGTAAAAATATGAATTTTGAAATTTTCGTGGCAAAAAATAGATTTGGTCACTCCGCCCACACCGCTAAGTGCTTTTTGTCCATAGAAAGTTGTCGCCGGATGTCCGAGCATTGTGAACACGTGGTGGCCATCAGGGGGCGATCCGCAAGAGACGGTAAAAGTAGAGCTAGACTTAGTAATTTATAGAGACCCCGTAGCGCCTACACGCGATACCCGTCCCGTGTTGTTCCCGAATATTTTCGTGTTGACCTCATTTGTCGAACCCGAATTTATTCATTTCTGCACCGGAACGTTTTTGATACTAGATGTCGCTATGCGTCATAATTTTTATATTAAAACGAACTTTAGAAATAATTTTTTGTTTTTATATTTATTAATATATCTATTTTGTTTGTGAAAAATAAAACAAGTAATTTCGGATGATAAAATAGTCACGATTATTTAAAAAAAAAAAAAAAAAAAAAAAAAT